AGAGAGAGAGAGAGAGAGAGAGAGAGAGAGAACCTGGTACAATGCAGAAGAAAGGAAGACTTCGCCATTGTTGAAGAATTCGGGAACAAAAGATAGTTGAATAGGTTGTCTTATACTAGAGAAGAAGTGGTTGGCAAAGAGACTGACTATTCGGCAATTTAAGGGTTTATTTGTTTGTTAAATGAGCGTAAAACATGCACAACCTAATATGCCTATAGGAGTGGTGGAGAGCACATCTAATTAAACATTTCTTTTTGATCCAAAACTATATAGTTATTTAGTATGTTAGATAAAAGGTGTGTAAAATTGTCCAATCGATAAATTTCGATGGGTCTAATGTGACATTTAGTCCCTGTTTGGTGCAGTTAAAAATCAGAATTTAGAATATTTTGATAAAAGCTGATGAATTGAATTGTTGAAATGTTGATAAAATTTGTGGGTTTCATAAAGTGTGTTGTTAAAATTAATTGTTGAATTTTAAATCAAGTTTTTAAGCTACACCAAATAGAGACCTAGGGGATGTTTGATAGGCATTTTTATGTAAAAATGCATTTTAGAATAGTAAATTGATGTGAAATGTGTAGTTGAAAAGTAAGAAAATTTTTTTTATTTACGTGTAATATTATTTTAATAAAGAATGTGTAGTAGAAAAGAAAAGAAGAAATGCATTTTAAAAAAAAATGGTTATCAAACGGGGTCCTAATGTACTATAAAAACTAAGCCCCTGTTTGATTCCCATTACTTGGCAATGAAAATGGGTGGAATAGTATTTTTTTGAAAAATGAGTGATAGAAAAAGAGGAAAATTTTTTTGATTTACGTGTAACATTTATTAAGAATTTTGATTAGAGTGTTTTCTTGTTTCCATTGTACAAAAAAACATCTCATTTGTCGATTCATGCGAGGTATAGTCGTATGTAGTGTGTAAATTTGGGCGACCGTGACTTTGTTCGACCTTGTCCAGATCTGGATAGCCATCGTAGAGCCTATGCCTTGGTATATCCATCTTTTCATTAATCAATTTTCTATCAATTCAAGTATCTTGTCTAGAGTATGAACATGACATTTTTATAATTTTTATTTTTCATACAAATTTATATATTTTTATCAACAATATTTATATTCTTCTCTACTTAAAGTTTAATAGTAAAATAAGGAAATCAACATAAAAATAAAAGAGCCTTAAAAAGTTATGTATGAATTCTTGAAATTTTTTGTTAAATTACAAAATGGTATAAAGCTATAACAATTTAAAATTTTATTTTAAGATTCAAAATAGCATATGATTCTACTTGATTTTTTTTATTTTATTATATTCATTGAACATAAATTAATTATCAGACGATGACAACTGATAATTTCCATTTGTCCATATAATAATGTTGGGAAAAATTTAATTGAAGTTCTTGTGGTTGATTAATTAAATTTTATTTTCCATTTTTAAGTTGTTTCTTAAAGAAAATGAAGATCATAAATTTTATTAACCTCACTCGGAAACATCTTTAAAAAAAAAAATTAGTTTTAAAATTCCTTTTTTTTACATACTAATTTTCAACCACACATTTATACGATAAAATATTTTGCACGAAAATTCAAAACGTTTTTATACTTTTAGTAACACATTCTCCAAAAAGTCATTATTCAAAACATCACTTTTCAATAATAATGGACATCAAACAGAGCTTAATAAAAGATCACGAGCTTCAAATAATTAAATTTTAAAGCATAATTAAATAGTTAAATAAAGGGTATGTAAGTGTTGATAATTTAAAATATAGGATGTAATGTATATCATACAAAAGTTGAATTCCCAAAGAAAATTTATTTGGTCTGTACTTTAATATCTTAACTTTATAGATTATTAAAAATATTTTAATAACAATAATTTTTTTCTCTAACGTTATTAACGTTCCAAATGACAATCATGTTTGTATCACTACTTGATAATCACTGTATTATTAATTGAAAATTGTCTGAAAATAAACCTATTCTCGAATTCATGTATAGTTTGTATATTAAGCTGAAAATTCTGTTTGAATTGAGTCATCTAGTCCTATGGCGACTGGGTTTGTTTGGCTTAAAAATAAATAAATATTGAATTTGATAACACACATGCCGATAGAAGTTATATTTGTGTGGCCACCTCTGACGACGACGACGCACTAAACTTTAAAAAGCACATCGTATCGCTTGGGTCCATGCTTTAATTAAAAAATTATTGAGACCTAATTATAAACACCTTGAATCATCAGATCTCCACCTACTCAAATTCAATTAGAAAATGATTTTTGTTAGGGCAAATCATGTAACTCAAAATAGAAAAGATAGTGACAAATTTATTTTAAAAATAGAAAAAAATAATAAGAAAAAAAAGAAGGAAAGCATTTGAATGGGTCAAGAGGGGCCAAGTGTTTCACTTGAAATTAGTGGTGGGTTTTTTTTAATTGGTTCCAATCCACAAAATCTTGACAAATGCCAGACATTCATCATGGATATGGTATTTTGTTTTTTCCATTATTGGAGTTTTAAGAATTTTTTTATTTTTTATTTTTTGCTAGCAGGTAATGTGGGGACGAATAACCTCATTTCTCTGCAGTGGCACATCGTGCATTTCTTTTTAGTGGTGTCCCAAATCCCAATAGATCGGACTATGACCTATTCGATAAAATAGTTGGATCGAAATCTATCTGAATCAATTTAAGCTAATTTAGTCATCTTATTATAATGAACAGATCATGTCGAGCTTGATTGTCTAGCTCGACAGCCCATGAGGATAGATTCGATCGGCTTGATTATTAAAAGAATCTTGCTATTTGCAGTCGCTCATTACCGCAATCGTCCTACGTAACATACGTGTGGCGATTAGTGATTTGTTGCATAAAATAATAAAAATCATCACATTAATGTATCAAATCACTAATCGTCGTATGTATGCACACATAGATCGAGTACGACAATGAATAACTGCAAATAACATTACTCTTATTAAAAAATTTGGAAGCGGAAAGTAAATTAATAGAGCACCAATTGCTCTTTCTTTTGAATTGTTTTTTGATATAGCCCTTGTTGGAGTCCCATATTTTTGGGGGGAAATGTATTTTTCAACCGTGTTTTGATATAATTTCAACACACATTCTTCAATAGATAATGTTACATGAAAATTCAAAACCTTTCTTATTTTTTAATCACACATTTTTCATCAATATACTATTCCAAAATGCATTTTTCCCCCAAAATAAGACTCAAACAACGGCATATTATGTTTTGGCTATAAATACTTATTGATTTTCTATATTTTTCACTCAATCGGTATTTTTAACACATTATTCATTTTTCTTGAGTTGCGACTGAAATTTAATCACAATAAATTTTTAAATCCCTATATAATTAGCAGAATTGCATAAACGTTAAAAATATAAATAAATTGTAATTGTCGAATTTTTCTTTAGGGAGTAAAAATTTCACTTTTGCAATATTTAACAAAAATGAATATTTTTCAATTCATTATATATTTTATCCATGTATTGTCTAAATGGCCGCCTTTCAAGTCAACTTCTCTAGTTCATTGCACGAAGAGCAGGTAGCTCAAGGGCCTAAACTGGGCCCCGTCTGTGAAATACGGGCCTAACCCAAGAATCCTGAATCTCTAACCGTCGTAACTGGAAAAACAGATCCAACGGTTGAAATCCACTTACTGTACACAACAGGCAGGACGGCAATTCAGCTGTAGTTTGTTATTTGTTAAGCATTTTTTTTGTGAAATTTATGGTTTTGTTTGCACTTAATTTAAAACATACGCACACTCTCTCTCCTCTTTCTCTCTCTTAAAAAGGCTAAGGAGTAAGACCCTTCTCGTATTGTGTAGTAGTTGGTACTCTTTCAAGGTGAAAAGAAAAAGGAAATAAGAAAGTTTTTAATTCTTTAGCTTTTTTTGTGTGATCATAGACTTGGGCTTTCCGACGATTATTGATTCATATCAGTTCAAGTATCTTCTCTAACTCGTACTTTCTGGGTTGTTTAGTTGATTGTAATATCAATCTATATATTGGATTCTTGAATTTTCTTGGTTTACAGTCAATATTCTTGAGTTTCTTTGATATGGGATTCTGTTTTTTATTTTTAATTTCTTTGAACCAATCTGTTTTTAATTTTTTTGATCAACCCTGATTATGTTTTTGTGTGAATTTTATTCTTGTGAAGTATTTCATAATATTTATTTATTTTTATTTCGATGCGCGCAGTGTGTTTGTTTCTTATTCAAGAGAGTGAATCGTGATGACCTACTTCTGATAAAAGTGTTGCTTAATGAATAAAAAGTGTGAAAAAATCAAATGAGATTGAGTACAACTTTTCTTTGCTTAATAAATGAAAAAGAAAACTAAAAACTTGCCTCCAAAGAGGCTGAATATTTTGAAGTTATTTCCTGTGACTATACAATCCTTTTGTTTCTCATCTTTAGAGACTATGTAGTTATGTTCTTGACGACCATGAACGATTAATCGTAAATTTGTACATAAATTTCCACTTTAGAGACTATAAATTGTTTTTTCCCCTCATATATATGGTCTGAGAAATTGATTTCAGTGTGCTTTTAATCATAGATATGTGTATTGACTTCTACTATGTATCGATGAGTGTTTAAAATTTAGTTTTTGGCATAGTGTACAGAATAGTGTATGAACAGATATTATATTGGATTATCAGTAAGTTTTTTTGTGCTTCACAATGATATATGCATACTTGTTTTATTAATTTATTATTATTTCAATAATTTGTGGACATAAATGAGAAAAACTTGTTTTATTGTGGTCAAGAATATTGTCGTTAAATGGTTTTAAGCTATTGAAACTTTGTAAGTCATCCGGCTTCAGTATCATGCATATCTATGTGATTCACTTTTACTCTTTGGGTTTAAGCTTCATTGAATCCTTACTTTGAGTTAATTTTTTTGGTTGCTCACATATTACATTAACTTTATGCGTCGCATCATTTTATTGATTTAGAGATCACTAATAATATTATAAAAAATTATGTTGTCATTTTGTCTAAAATTTTGCAATCTCCATCATCTAATCATTATTTTTGGTATTCAAGGAAAAACGCATAAAAATATATCTCATAACTACATCGTGTTATCTCTTCTTAACGAAGGCTTATATTAAGTCTTTGAAAGCTCAAGTGTATGATTGTTAATACAGGAATAAAGGGTGTATATAACCATCCATGGATGCAAACTCGGGTAAAAGAGCTGCAGGCAGAGTTATTTCACCTAGAAAGAGATCCAGTGTCAACTTGAAAGATAGAACCAGTGATAGGGATCAAAATGCTCAGTTCTGTAATCGAATAGGATGTAGTGGCAGAATTAAGTACAGTCAGAATTCCAAAATTGGAATCCTGGATAAAGCTAAATGTGCTAAACCTTCTATGGAAAATGGAAAGGAGATAACCAGAAATACATCTACCACCTTTTCTATGATGACCAGTTCGAAAAAATCATATATTGATCTGAAGTCTTCTCGTGTGGAATTTGATTCGTCAGAAAGCAGTGTTTCGAGTAAATCAGAAATAGGGAGTTCTAGTGTGTCATCAAACATTAGATCTCGAAAAGTATTTCATTGTAAGTCAGGGTCATGCAACCAAAACACACTGCCAACTTCCTCTGTCCTGTCGGTACCGAACAGCTCTGGCCTTAGGGCATGTAATAGTGGTAACGGAAGCAGGTGCAGTTTGAGAAATCTGAAATGCAATTCAACATCTGATGTTGTTCCACGAAGTTGCTCGTCATCTGAATCACAGTCTAGTAGGAAGGATGTGGTGAAAAAGAGAAGTTCAGAAGGGGGAAGTAGTTCATCTTCTGGATGGAAGAAAACAAATAGAGCAGTATCCTTTAATGGACGTGTCTTGCGTTCAACTAATGGCATCTCTATATCTGATTCAAGACGTGGCAGTTGGACTCCTCGAGAGGATGCGAGTGATGCTGCATCTGTTAGGACTCAGAGGCTAATCAATGGAAGTACAAGGACGAGGCTTTCTAGTCAACATATTGGAAATGTTTCCCGATTTCCTCAACCTGAAAGACCTATTGAGGTTGAGGACCATGGTTCATCAAGTGGTCAGAGTTCTTACAGCCTTTCCAGCAGTAGTGGTGATAATCTGTCCAGTTTAATGCCTTCCTCCTATATGGGACTTGACACTACTAGTTTAGTGCATGATGCATTGCAACGACGTGACATGGATGGAATTGCCGAGGTATCGTCCCATTTCATATCAAAATTCATTTTTGTTGTTTTCAGCTTGTGGGCTTATGATGCAATTATTTTTTGTTCGGCTGCCTTGACAAATGGTTATATATTGTGTACTCTCTCATGGTATAGATATTACTAGCACTTGAGAGGATTGGACAAGACGAACCGCTGACCCGTGAGGTAATTAACTTTTTATGGCTCTTTGATATCTGCAAACTGTGGTTTGACAATTGACTCTTCGTCTCTGTCTACAGCAAGTACTTGCCTTTGAGACCAGTTTAATCATTAGCGGCCTCAACCTATATGACCAGCATCGCGACATGAGACTGGATATTGACAACATGTCATATGAGGTTTTATTATCTTATTCTCGTATGATGGTTTGACGACTTGAATCTTAAGTTTCTATTATTCGTCGTTTTTCCTTTTAGTACAATTAGACTTTACTCCGACCTAACTCTTCTCTCATAATTTATGTGAAAAGAAATTTGAATTTCGGCTCTCTCTCTCTCTCTGGGGAAATTTATTACATGAATGTTGCTTTTTCTCGAAATACTTCTTTTCTTCTCTCTCCGGAGAATCATTGCAAGTCGCCATTTTTCTTTTTATGACTCTTGCTAAGGGTTTGTTTAGGATAACTTCTTCCTTTTGGAGAAGAGGTTTCCAAGGAAGTCATCTTGATGAGCTTCTTCTAAAAGTTCTAATCTGACAAAGTACTTTCAGCAAAATACAAACATACACAAAAGCAGCTTTCTTAGTCCAATCAGGCCGTAAATTTGCTCTATTAATTGAGATTTCTTGAAAAGAAAGTTGGGGAGTTCTATTTTGTTTTGGAAGATAATTGGGCTGGCCATGTTGGGGAGTTTTTTTTTTTTTCATGACATTCGCAGCTGCTCGTCTGACAGGAATTACTAGCTCTTGAGGAGTGTATCGGTACGGTGAGCACGGCAGTATCAGAAGAGGAATTGTCGAAATGCCTCGTGAGAAGCATCTATCATGTTAGCCTCTCGGACAAAAAAATCATGGGATCAAGCGAGGATCTAGACGACCTCAAATGCAGTATTTGTCAGGTTTTCTATATTTTTCAAGAATGTTTACTGCTACTGATCTAAGTTTAATTTTTGAATTTTTGCCTGTTACCTGTCCCAAACCTCCGGAAAAATACATGAATCGATACATGTTGTGTAGGAGGAGTATGTATTAGGAGACCAGATCGGGAAGTTGGTGGAATGCCAGCACCGGTACCATGCAACGTGCGTACAGCACTGGCTGCAGCTGAAGAATTGGTGCCCCATTTGCAAAGCTTCAGCAGTGTCATCTTAGTCGTCATCTTTGTCAACAATCAAGACTAGATGTCGGGGATGGGATGATTCATCGTGTATAAAATGCATTTGTTGAACAATCTCTCACTTATTTTGCTCCTTTTCCAGCCAAATCTTAGCAAATCAATAATCCTCGGATAGGCTGTTTGGTGAAAACTGTACATCATACTCACTAACTGCCTTCTGAAAATTTACTTGTTAGTGTGTTTCAGTAATTCCAGCCCTTCCGAGTAGATTTCTTATTTATATTTACTTGTTTTTTGTTTTTAGTACTGCTATGTGAAAGTTTGTTTCAAGTTCTGAATACATATTTTATGATCCACATATTCTTTCAAGACCCACAACTTATAATCTACTAAAAAAAAAACTTTACGGAACATACTCAATGCAGTATATGTCGATTCATCTCAAACTTCCACAGAACGATAACTACTTGAGTAGACGCGTACGTGCAGAAAACAAGATTCCCCAACCTGAGACTTTCATCGAAGCCATTCGATCGTATGCAAAGAACAAACTTATGCCAGATAACTTGTCCACTTCGATTATTTAGAAATCAAAAGCAGTCTTCCAAGACGATATTAACAGGAAGTACTGCGTAAATTCCAAAGATCAAACCTCCTCAGAAAAAAGACATTCGGGAGCTAAAAAGGGAATTAATCATGAAAAACAGAGAATTTGATTAGGTGTCAATCTAAGGATTTTAAATAACATTAGCTGCGTGAAACGTGCGGTGCCGTTGAGTTTTTGGTGGTCCACCAGTTGTAAGCCATTCCTTCCATTCATCGGTTTCAGTTAATTCTATCCTGTCATATGAAGAAACATAATGAATTACGCGAACGTGTATAAACATAATAATGAAACTAAATATACAATCATCTCCAGAATGTTGAGTTTTAGAATAAACATGATGTATAAAAGTTGCAAAGTTGATAGGTTACATTTTATAGTAGAATAGAACCTGTAAAGAGTCTGCAGAGCATCCTGGATGCTGCATAACTAATGGTCATAGAAGCGTGAACGACGCCTTCGAGAACTGTGAGAAAAAAAATGTATACCAAAATCAGAAAGAAGATGCAAGTGACAAAAAACCAATAGGAAAAAATACTTTATTTATACCTTGTCATCTAGTCTATCTTGTGCCTAAAAGAGTGAACCACAAATTTGTGATCACGCTAATTTACATGGAAATGATCCAGATAGAGACATATCTTAACTATTTCTTGCTTGTGTTTATGGAAGTTAAAACATAAGAGCAAAATGACTTCCATTTTCTGACATTTTACTAGAGGAATTTGCAAAACGGGAAAAAATCAGGAGGAGCTTATAAATCACTTTAATACCATCTCCTAACTAAATTACTGAAGTCGGATTTCCTAGGCTTTATTGCATCAAAATCAGAAAGAACAATTTTATTAGGAGGCTCTATCGGGATAGTGGGATACCATAGTCCATAAATTGGAAACTCCTCAATTATCAAAGACATAAAAAGATAAACAAAGATATAGTAACAATAACATTGTTCCTCGAAGGAAAAATCTAATTAGGTTACATTAAAGAATTTGCACTGGTCTAACAAAATTTAGAAAAATAATTGTTCGGCTGTTGGTGGGTCTCCTTATATGTCTTGTCCGGAGAGAGGACTAAATGATCATATTCATCCCCCAAAATAATAAGCAAAATTTTGGTTAATAAAGATACTAGGAGATCAGATTAGAAAGTGTTTTGGTTTAATTAAGTCTTAATGGTTCTCTAAATCCTACGCCAATAAATTCATGATTTTGTTATTCAAATATACAAAGAAATATGCAATGAAAACGACCGAATCAATTGTTTCATATTCATGTGCAAGTTCAACTTTTAATATATTTATCAGAAAATAATATTTAACTTAAATAGACTTTTCCTCCCCTCCTGCCATTTTGGAACATTGATGAACCAATGCAATACACGGCCACACTGACATAAATATGAGCCCATTACTGAAAAAGAAAGAGAGTGTGTGTGTGTGTAACTCAAAAATTAAGACTCATCAAAAATTTATCACCAATGAACTGATGTGCCATGCCATAACGAAGCACTGAATCTCCTGCTGTAGCTATAAGCAAAAGCTTACAAGTTACAACTATTCTGATGTGTGTGTTTTGGGAGGAGGTCATTTTAAAGCTTATGTAGACAGTGCAAATGTAACCAAAGATTAAGAAGGCTTATTAATCATGGATCCACAAGAATAAATGATGGCACATCATTGAAAGAAAAATGTATAGGCACATATACCATAGTCGCTCACCTGTGTTGATCTGCTCTTCCCCTCGAGAGTCCACTTGCACTTCCAAACTCATCATCAGCATCGTCTGCTATATAGTCAGCATATTCTACAGATGTTACAGAACCCTCATCAGAGTTAGAAGTATCAAAACTCAAATGACGGTTTCCTCTTCTAGAATCACCAACTCTGGATCTTCTTCTGTTTCTAGACGTCCTAAAGTTTTCAAATACCTGATACAATATGCAAGATGTCCACCAGTTCCCTTCATCCCCAGGGAAGTCATCAAATTCATCACCAGAGTTATCATTCCCATATTCTATCACATAATCACCCAGAACAACCCCACGAGGGACTTCTGAATGGATAGTACTCAACACATCTATGATCTCAGAGGATTGCTGGAAATTCTCCCAATCAAGCTTTCGTGCAGGATCGATCTTTGAAGGGCACGATTGAGGATGCTCCAAGTGAGCATGTTTATGAAGTTCCAGGTAGGTTCCTACGAATCCACATTTTCCCTCTTCACAACAACGTTTCTTCTCATCCAAATATGCACGAGCATTATGAACAACTACCCATCCAGTAACTTCACCTCTACACAAGGGACACGCTGGTTTGCTGTCCGACACCAGATTCATACAGTTAACGTTTTCAGAAGAACTTGGTGATTGAGAACCGGATAGCATCCCACTTGCTTGTTTAAAACGGTCAAGACAATTTGAGTGTAAATGGTCAGTGTCACACACAAAAGGTCGGCATCCTTTTTCATATGATGAACATTGGAGGAGAACACCATTGTGAGGAAAATCCAAGCATATGGGACAAATGACATCATCCCAGTTGGTATACAGCTGAATCTCCTCCATCCAAGTTGTGTTCGATGTGGAGTCCTCTTTCCAAAAGTTTCTATGCACACAAAGAGACTGAATTATCTACTTTTGAAAATCATGGAGCAAGTATCTTTTCCCTTTCAAGGCCAGAAATCAATGTTAGATTAAGAAATGAGAGCCAAGTACATAGTCATGCACAAAGTTCACAATCCGGTTCATAAAAACATTCAAATAAGATAAGAAACTGTGCAGAATATTAAGGGAGACAGAGGCTGACAGCAACGAATTAGCAGAACACAAAAATGAACTATTAAACTAAAAAAAATTTGCAGGTTCACTTCAAGAGCTTTTCAAGATGAAAGTAAGTGCCACAAAAAACTAGCTAATAGCATAAAGGAATAACGGCCATGAGAGAGAAAAAAAAAAAAAATGCAATGAAATGGCGCAATCTTAGCGTTTAATGAAATAGAATCAAAGCTCCTAACAACCAAAAAATGTATTTATCATGCACTCATCAGCTCATATTGGATCGAAAGACTTCAGTGGAAGAGACAAGCAACAAATTTTAGACACATGCCTACGTCCTCAATTAGTCGGAGGAACTGAGGTTCAGCAAGAAAAGAGCAAACAATTGAGGGAGAAAAAAAAAAATAGAAATGTGAAAATAAATTTAGGGGAAGTTACATAATCCACTCATTACCTTTCCCAAATTTTCTAAGCTAAAACTTAAAATCATTTTTTCAAAACCTACCGACCACAATCGACAAAGACAAGAATTTAGGAAAACTATTAAATGCATTTGTACCCATATATATTAACAATTCATACCTCTTCTTTTTGTTGAAGCGCTACTTCTTCACTAGTAATTGCTTCGCTAAACTTCTCATAAATAAGCCTTTTCAAAACTACTTTTTACGATTAAAAAAGGAGGTCGTCTTCAAATTAAAGTGCGTTTACTTCTCGAAAAGCGTTACGGGTTGACTCGATTTCCCCATTTACGTACGAAAAAAGCTCCCAATCAATCAGCAAAAGTTATATGCAAGAACGAATTGGCGTTAAAATCATATGATAGCAATAATTACAATAATTAACCATCAAATCCTGTTCCAAGAATAAACGAAAAGTCAACCGATCCAAAACATCCAAAAATCACCCATGTATAAATATATTATAGAGAGAGAGAGAGAGAGAGAGAGAGCAGAACCTGGCGAATTCAAGCTTCAGAAAAAGAAAAACACAACCTGAAAATGGGGGAAAAGTAAACCATTAGATGATGGGATTCCTGTTTATAAAGTCGTTGAAGTTTCAAGGTTTTGTTTTGCACTTTTTTGATTAGTTTTGTTTAGTCAACATCAGTTTCTACACACAATGTCAATGTACGTAAGTTAAAAGGCAAATGTGAAATAGCCCCGTCATTAAAAAAAAGGGTAATTGACACAAACGTTTGTACTTTTCATATTTATTGTAAAAAATATCTCTACTTTTTATTTTTTAGTATTTTCGTCCATAACTTTCACATTTCTTTGTCCTGAATGTTCTTTTCACCATTTTCAACGTTTAATGATCAAAATACTCTCTTATTTAAATAAAATAAAAAAAAAAGAAAAGAAAAAAAATTACAATCTTACTCCTAATTATTTTAAAAAGTGCATTGAGTCCAAATAATTATTAAAAGGCCTAATAACACAAAACATCTATACGTTTAGCATATAGTGTGCACAACGTCCATACATTTCAAATTGGTCAAAATGACTTTTTCGTAATGAAACGTGAAAATAGGGATGAAAACGCAAACAAATTGAAACATATAGACGTTTTCCGCAAGAAGTGTCAAACGTAGGGATATTTTTTTACTATTAGACCTTATTGAAAATGTTAAAAATAACCACACAAAAAAAGAACAAAAAAAAAAAAAAAACTCTATAAAACTCTATTAAAATAACCAAAAAGAACTACCACTGTAACTAGTTCTGGAAACATATATTCTAAACTCTTAACAATTAGATCTCGACTAGTCGACCTTAAGCTACTCAAACTAATTATTAGTTTGTTTTTTCCAATAAAAATAAAATGCTGCACTTTCGAAATAGATAAAATCACAGCAGATGAAAAAAATATCTGCAATCTTTTTTACCGACCTATTGTGTGTAGTTCGCCCCCATCTAAAATCCGATAATTATGTAAGTGTATAAATGGCATTTTTGTCATTCTAATTATTCTAGCTAACTTAAGCTATATTTTCTTCAACGATCCTGTGAACCAATAACAAATGTCGAAATTTAATCATCACTAAACACTGAACTTAGATTTATAATCGTTCAATATAAAATACTTAAATAGCCACTCAACCCATTTTTAGGGTGACATTTCTCGATACGTATTCGTATTCTCTACTTTACTCATTCTCAAGTTCCCAACTCACAAAGGTACTCGATCAGTCAATTTTAATCTTGCCCAAACTCAATAAAAGATATACACAATTTTATCAAGGATTTAGATAAAATATCTGGTAATAAAGTATAATTTAATTTTTTGTACAGTAATGACATAGAATTAAACTTGAGCACGTGACCAATTCAATAAACTTCAAATGTATTAGAGCCACCATTAAACTATTTATGAAATAAAGACAAAATGCAAGCCGGGATAGATTTAGTCATTACTATGACCTCCAAGTAAAATGTGTTCCCTTGTACATTCATTATGAACATTTCATTCATGATCAAAATATAAATTGTGTCACACTGTACTTCTCATCGAGCATCCAACTATATATTGCAATTTCAAATGATTGTTTTTGGAATCTCTTCTCGATTTCTCAATCACTTTTTCTGTACAAGTTAGATCTTCTATAGCTACAATGTGCGTCTTTTAGAGATACTGTTGGATATTGGTTAAATAAATCGAGAATTGAAAATCGATTAAAGTTCGTATCGACTTCGGCCAAATACTCAAAAGCTCGACTCAATCCGTTTAGGCAAAATTGTTTGCCACTTCGCCGCTTCGGGGCGCACAAACGGTGATCGACCTGCCCGGTCAGGTCGCGGGGGTCGAGGGGGCAGCGCCCCTCGTGGGGGGTCGGGGGTAACGCCCCCGAAAGAGAATTTTAATTTCTCTGCATGTATTGAAGGGTATATTTGGCATTTCGAAAATCAATATCGGATAAATGAGAAATTACGAAAAAGGCCTCAACCATTAGTGAATAGACACCTTTTCATAAAGGTGCATTGTTTGGAAAGGGTGCATGGTTTGGCCTCAACCATTTCGTTTATTTTTTTACTATTAGACCTTATTGAAAATGTTAAAAATAACCACACAAAAAAAAAAAACAAAAAAAAAAAAAAACTCTATAAAACTCTATTAAAATAACCAAAAAGAACTACCACTGTAACTAGTTCTGGAAACATATATTCTAAACTCTTAACAATTAGATCTCGACTAGTCGACCTTAAGCTACTCAAACTAATTATTAGTTTGTTTTTTCCAATAAAAATAAAATGCTGCACTTTCGAAATAGATAAAATCACAGCAGATGAAAAAAATATCTGCAATCTTTTTTACCGACCTATTGTGTGTAGTTCGCCCCCATCTAAAATCCGATAATTATGTAAGTGTATAAATGGCATTTTTGTCATTCTAATTATTCTAGCTAACTTAAGCTATATTTTCTTCAACGATCCTGTGAACCAATAACAAATGTCGAAATTTAATCATCACTAAACACTGAACTTAGATTTATAATCGTTCAATATAAAATACTTAAATAGCCACTCAACCCATTTTTAGGGTGACATTTCTCGATACGTATTCGTATTCTCTACTTTACTCATTCTCAAGTTCCCAACTCATAAAGGTACTCGATCAGTCAATTTTAATCTTGCCCAAACTCAATAAAAGATATACACAATTTTATCAAGGATTTAGATAAAATATCCGGTAATAAAGTATAATTTAATTTTTTGTACAGTAATGACATAGAATTAAACTTGAGCACGTGACCAATTCAATAAACTTCAAATGTATTAGAGCCACCATTAAACTATTTATGAAATAAAGACAAAATGCAAACCGGGATAGATTTAGTCATTACTATGACCTCCAAGTAAAATGTGTTCCCTTGTACATTCATTATGAACATTTCATTCATGATTAAAATATAAATTGTGTCACATTGTACTTCTCATCGAGCATCCAACTATATATTGCAATTTCAAATGATTGTTTTTGGAATCTCTTCTCGATTTCTCAATCACTTTTTCTATACAAGTTAGATCTTCTATAGCTACAATGTGCGTCTTTTAGAGATACTGTTGGATATTGGTTAAATAAATCGAGAATTGAAAATCGATTAAAGTTCGTATCGACTTCGGCCAAATACTCAAAAGCTCGACTCAATCCGTTTAGGCAAAATTGTTTGCCACTTCGCCGCTTCGGGGCGCACAAACGGTGATCGACCTGCCCGGTCAGGTCGCGGGGGTCGAGGGGGCAGCGCCCCTCGTGGGGGGTCGGGGGTAACGCCCCCGAAAGAGAATTTTAATTTCTCTGCATGTATTGAAGGGTATATTTGGCATTTCGAAAATCAATATCGGATAAATGAGAAATTACGAAAAAGGCCTCAACCATTAGTGAATAGACACCTTTTCATAAAGGTGCATTATTTGGAAAGGGTGCATGGTTTGGCCTCAACCATTTCGTTTACACCCTTTCATGGTCTATAAATAGGACCCTTTGGGTGTCCTATTCCTCACAGTTTGATATGCAAAAACGTCTCTCATCCTCTCTTCTATCCAAAATCAAAATCATTTCATTTATTTTGATTTTCTTTCATTTCATCCTTGGAGTACATAAGCCTACATTTGGTTCGTTGTACTTGTGTTTTGGAGTGCTACAAACATAAGTGTAGCCGTTGTATCTTGGGAGTCGATTGTCGAAATCCGTAGGCACCGTTGCGGGGCAAATTCGACTTTAGGACAAAGAGTCCAACTCTTGCCTCGGCTTTGTCATCGTCATTATACTTATTTCGGCGTCACTATTCACGAAATTCTTCCAACAGATACATGTTCAAGGAAGTTGATAACTAGTTCTTCAGCCTATGGAGCAACTAAATTTGCTGAACACCAAGTGAATTTGCTTAACTTAGAATTTTTGTCTCAATTTTACACTGATTTAAAGTAAAATGTACATCAAGCCCGAAAATACATGTAAGCATTTGGTAAAGTGGCTCTCTTATCCCTTTTGTCAAGGAGTTTGCATATCTCTTTACCTCTGATTAATATTGTACAAGTGATGAAATTCAATCTATTTCGATCTTCTTATTGAAAATTACCGCCAAGTACTACTTCAAGCCGGAGAGACTCGCGCTCATCAATAAGTGGAACTTTCTTCTTTTGAAGGATGATATCAAAATTCACTGAGCAGAGCACAAGGTTATCTTATGAATACTCTAGTCTCGAATCTCAATAAATGGTGAAAGCCACTGAAGAATTTCTACATTCAATTTACCAAGCTAAAGGCAGGAACTTTCTAAATTCCAGCAACCACCATTGCTTTCCTAAACTCAGCAGCACGATCCCATATCTCTGCTCCGACAAAAAATGCTAGATAAAAGCACATACTGTCCACTATGATAAGGTTGTAAGTGAATCAATCATCTTCCTACTTCATTCCCCAACTCGACAGCCTCGTAAAGTCTACGAGCACTCAATAAAGCCCCCAACACAGTGTCATTGGCCTTGAAAGGCATGCTCCTTATAAACTTGTATGCTTCTTCCAAAAGCCCGACTCTTCCCAAGAGATCGATTACACATCCATAGTGTTCCATTCTTGGAGCAATGTCAAAGTCATGCGACACTGAATGAAACAACGCCAAACTCGTATCCACAAACTTGGCACGAGCACAAACTGATAGGACTCAAGGCAAGAAACATTCTTGTTCCAAAGGTATCCGAAGCATTATTTTGTTGATCATTTTCAAAGTAGTAGGAATCCAAAGATCCACTTGTCATGAATGACGACAAAAGATAAATAAACTAGAAGTGTTATAATTTATTTTTTATTTTTTGTGAAGGCGTGAGAAATTTTAGAGGGTGTTTGGTAGGAATTTTTATGTGAAAATGTATTTTTGAATAGTAAATTGATGGAAAATGTGTGGTTGAAAAATAAGAAAAAGTGTTTGATTTACGTGTAATATTATTTTAA